GCAGATTTGACCCCTTCAGGTCAAATCCAAAACAAAAAGGCACGTCCAACAGCTCTCCTGATTGTGAAATGGATTGTCACTTTAAATTTTTGTGCTTGAATCTCTGGAATGGAACTTGAACCCAAAGCTTTCTGATTCTTAGGCAGAGGTGCCACCCAGCTTTAGCTGTGTAGTCACAGCAATTTTTTTTTCTGTCAGTGGTGGAAGGTAGATGTAGCTTCCGTGCTGAATTGCAGAATTGATTAATGTGCAATTGCACATGATTCCCTACATGTAACCTTTTTGTAATATTATCTGTGTTACTATTGCTCTGATGCCGTGAGATCTGTCATACTTACTTGGCCCTCAGTTTTAAACATCACCTGAAAGATAGCACCTCCTGTAGTTGAAGTTATTGAAACTGGTCGTTCATGCTAACTGGTCAAGGTTTATTTTAATAAACACAACTGTAGGTATTGTTAATTAACCCGTTTAGAGATGCCAGGCTTGCCGGTCTATGACGTTTATTTTTCTGTTCCTTTCTCCATCATTCTTGTATAGACTCCCTTTAAATGCATCAATGCTAGTCACCTCAACCATGTCCACAATGATAATGAGTTTCACATTCTCTTCATTTTCTGGGCAAAGACCTTTCTCCAAAATTCCTTACAGGGGTTACTTGTGACTTTATTGTATTCGGGACCACCAGTTTTGGACTCGCTCTACATGACAGAACACCATCATCTTTTAATACCTGCTTTGTCAACTCTTAAAACAAATTTAAAGGCCTCTATCAGATTACTTCTCAGCTGTCTCTCCCAGAGAAAGGAGAGCCAATTCTTCAATCTTTACAGGCAGTTATTCCCTGGTAAAGCTTTTGTGCGCTTAGTACTGTGCTTCTCTCATCATTTTGTAATCAGGAGACCAGAAATATGCACAGAATTCTGTGTATGCCTATTTCCAAATTACCACTCTGAATGCAAAATAGCAGAAGAAACTAAATAATTGTGAATTCCATGATCAGCTGTGTACTGTTAATTTTCAATTATGCGTGAGATGCTGCTGTAAACTGTAGTCATTTCATAAGCTGGAAAATTTAAAACGGTAACGTCGAGCCCAGCAGACATTTGTCCAGCCACTGTCATAAATCACTGTCACGGGGAAGAGTTGCTTGCTATTTATTTTAATTTAGAATTCATAAAACCTGCCTGCCTAATCCCACAAGGACAGATCCTGTAGTAATTTGGGTAACTGTGCTGAACACTAATGCTTTTGCTGGTTTGGAATGAAAATGAGCTACTTTTTGCTGAAATGGATAGTTGAACTTGTTTGTGAAGATTAGTGTGAAATGTTGATGTCTGTTCCACTTGACACTGAGTGTTACAGGATAAATGTTAACCTAACTCTCATCATTCAGTATGGGACCAGTCACCTGTTTTTTACTCTGCATTACATTTAGGTTCAAAATATTTATTACATCGACTGCCAATGTGTTACTAAAATGATATTTTAGCAAACTATAAAAATATTTATACTTTTAATCACATTTTATGAATTAACAATAAAGAATATGCTGCTCAAAAATGCTTTGCCCCTGAGAAGTTAGGTACTGTTATAGCCCACAGATACAATCTACACGGTTTGCATATCATTATAGAAAGTTACGACGACTGAAGTGAAACAGTTGCTTTGGGCAATTAAATAGCTATATGGTTTCTTGGAGTATGTTATTAAAAGCATGCATGCAGTATTCAGATATTACTTTTTCAGTGACTTTTTAATAGTCTGCTGTTGAATAGATTCAAATACCAATGCCACAGTCAATTTAAATGTTCCTGGTATATGGCCCTTAAAATTTTTCCAATATTTGCTTACCTTGGGCTACATTCTCTCTTCGTTTCTCTCTAGTTGAAACTTTTGCACAATTCTAACCACTAATAACATTTGTCTCTGTGTATACTTCACCAAGTCACTCAGCAAAAAGATGCAGAAGAATCAATGGTGTAAAGGTGGCTCAAGTATGTTTTATCAAACAATGCAGCAATCTAGTTTTATAGCAAAACTTTTCATAGCTCCCACACTAAGCAAAAAATTGGGTTGTAATCTCCCCATTCCCCTACCGATGCTGCCATACCCAAAATATGGATAGCTACCAAATCCCTTTCAATAAAATATTAAATAACAATCAACATAATGTGGCCTTACATAACGGTAACATTATCTTTGCAAAATGACTAAGTTATGACAAATATTGGTGTAACTTTGCATCTCATTGTTGCCCACATCTGTTACCATCTGAAAGCTTTTGTTTTCGATTACTGTTTCAAAGGTGATCATGCAGAATAAAATGTCATTAGTGATGGTATTAATATGTTCTTTTGATTTTAGTGGCAATGTGATTCATGAGTCGCATTGAGGAAAAAACAGTTAAATCAAGTACATACTGAAAAATGTTGTTAATTTTCATTGACACTGCTTATGAAACATTGTTTTGTTTTTGCTGCTTTTACCTTTTTAAAGAGAGAATAGTTTATTCAGCAAGCTAGAAGGGGTTGAATGAAGGTGCTAGGAAATGGAACAGTTTCCATCTTTGACATGTTTGTGTCGAGCAGGCCCAAGGAAGTACAGTAAGGGTTACATTTTTAGATCACGATACATAGCCTAAATTGGAAATGTTTGGGAGACTTTACAACAGGCAGGTCTCGACTCTGTCAATTAACCACCCAGGCAATGAAGGTAAAAATTAGTCTCCAATGAGTCTTTGCCAATATATGTGACATGTTGATTGCTTACCTTTTCAAGATCTGTTTAAGTGAGATTACTACTTTAGTGTTCACTTATACTCCGGGCCCACGCTCACTCGAGAACTGCCCGAATTCACTGGATTCAGCTATCAGTTTCATAGCAGCTTTGCTTTTGTGTTGGAAGATTGCTGGTTCAAATCCCAATCCAGAGACTCGGGCAGTCCATCTAAGCTCGTCCAGTGCAGTTCTTGGGCAACTCTGTTGGAAGGTGCTATCTTTTGGATGAGATGGTAAATCAAGGTCCTGCCTAGATTTTCCGATGAGTGTATTAAAAACTATCCCATTGAATAATATCAAAAAGCACTAGTGCTTTTCCTCACGTAAGAGACAATATTTATACTTCAATCAACTTCACTGGAAAAAAGAACAGCTGACGACTATCTCTCAATGTGGGGGCTTGCTGTGCACAAGCTGGCTGCTGCATTTCTTACATTAAAACAATGACTGTACTGCAAAAGTACATCATTAGCTAAACAGTGCTTCAGGACATACTGAGGATGTGATACTCTCACTTTTAGAAGAGCTTTTTTTTCTCTTCCAGCTACAGAAGGTAAGTGGGACAGAATCTTAAGCCCCTACATCGTCTAGTCTGTAAAATTACACACCATTTGAACCCTCAAGTAATGAAAGCTTTGATAACTTAGTAAATATAAAATTATTTACTCAAGTACTATATAGCCCAAATCCAAAGGTATGCAGGGCCTTAACATAGTTTGAAACTTTATTCATAAGTTTAAATAATTTTTGGATGTCATTTTTGGCTATGGACCATAGTTAAAAATGGAGCAAGTGTTGGACTTGTCATTGAATTGGACAATACCAAAGAAATTTAAAATTAAGACAAATGTATAACAAGTAGCTGTCTGCTAATACCAAATTTTACCATCACAAAAAAAGAAAATTACACCTTATGTTTGTGCACAATTGGTACTCTAGTACACCAAAGCTCAAAGTTAAAACTGTACAACCACTCTGACTGTATTGACCTAGAAGTACATTACTGGCAAATCTTAAGTGCTGAAAGATACTCTATCAGTTGGAAATATAATTACAGGTTTCTCATACGTACCATCAATTATATGATGACAATTCTACTTCAGTAGTAGTAGACAAATAGAATTAACTATTTACACTGCCAAGCAAAACTCCTGGATAATACTGGAATCTTTTTACTGATAGTCAAAGGCACTGTGGGGTAAGGGATTCAGCCAAATGGGTGACACTGCCCAGGAACCCACCCTCATGCAAGTCACATCCTTGCCTAAGTCCCTGTGCAGTGGACCAGAAGAGAGCTGCTGGATGCAAAACCTCTGACAAACTGACCCACTACAGTTTGTATGACTGGTTGGGAATGTGTGCAGACCAGAGTTCATATGAAACATGATTTTACTGTCAAAACCATTTACAAAATTACTAATGATTTAATGACTCCCAAGAGTGTCACTCTGCAACACAACGTGACATCAAAACATCGAGAGACTAAGTGTTGGAAAATATTCATGTCCTCTCCTCCCCACGCTGTTGGGAAGTCTGCATGAAAAGCTACAAAATAATTTACTGCGTTCACTCTTTCTAATGTGGAACATTCTGTACAAAGTCTTGAGGGACCTCGTTAGTCCTACTGATGCTTCTGTAAATACATGGTATGTGGTAATCCAATGTGCACTGTTGAGATGAAGCCCTACAGTGTATGTCAGCTTGCTACACATCAGGAAATTACCCATGGGATGTATAAAGTTCTGAGGTTATTAATTTCAGAACAGTCTTGGGCACTTCTGAGGAGTGCTGATGTGCACAGCAGCATCTTGATTGGTTTTGGGGCAGGGCACACCAACTGTGCAGATCAAATGAATACTTTTGTAAAGAACAGGGAGACTCTTGATAGTTCCTGCTGACTGGACAGTCTTTGGTGTCCCTTCTGTTAACCTTGGCAAACTTCAATTTTGTTTTTGATGAACAAAAGTGTTAAATTGAAAACCAGCCCAGGACTGTGGTCAGCAAGTGTAAATTGCAGTTTCCTCTGCTTAGATAGTGTAATAACTGTTTCTTTTTTGTTTGTTTGGAGGTTGAGGAGTGGTGAGAGTTGGAGATGAACAGTGGAACAGTTGACTTCGTATTGTATTTCCTTCTTTAAGTTAAAGACAGTTTTAAAAACAGAGTGAGTCGTCGATGGGGGGAAATGATTTTCCGAGTTATATTTTTCAGCCAGCTTGAGTTTTATGATTCTGGATTCCTGATTGTTCTTTGATACTCTTCCAGTTCATTTTTCCTGTTCATTGCTTTCTGCAGTTCCTGTTTGATGAGCTGAATCTGTTTCTCCAGTTCTGTTAGTTCATGAATAACTGAATGCCTGGCTTTCAAAAGCGGTTCAGGTTTGCCATTGGAATTAACGGTAAGTGGGAGCTCTTTCACTACTGGGGGCTGGTCCTCAACCTGACAACGTTTCAAATTAATGTCAGGCTGTTGAATATCTTTGAAAATGCATTTCTGCTTGTCCCAATCTGCATGACTAGCTGTATTCCATACGGCTTGCTGGTTATTTCCTACATTGCACCTGAAAATGAAATAAGTATTTTAAGTCAGACCTCAACTGCAGAAGGCATCTGTGCAAGAAATGTACTGATTATTATAACAGTATGCATACAATTGGAATGATACATAGATTTCATCTCTGTCTACAATCGTTCACAAAACATACAACCCTCAGAACTGCACGCTTCCAGTCTTGGCCTCTTGTGTATTTCTACTCTCCTGTTATTGGTGGCTATTTCAGTTGCCTAGGCCCTAAGCTCTGGAATTCCTTGCTTAAAAATTCTCCATCTGTCTTTCCTCCTTTAAAACCTATTTTAGTTTCCTTTTGTCCTATTAGATCCTCTCGTGGCTCACTGTCAAATTTTGTCTGATAGCAATATTCCTGGGGCATCTTACTACACTGAATGCAGGATATTCTTGAGTTCTTTAGTAAAGTCAGAGGCAATGAGAAAATGATGTAGCACTTTTTGTAGTACCAGTATTAAATCCAATTAACAGTCCAACATTTCTTTCTAATTTCCATTAAACCACCAGCCAATCTAGAATGCTACTTTAATAACAATTCCTTCTATCACATGTATTGTGACAGTGATAAAAATGGAATATCAATTATCAACTTCGACCCCACAGAACGGTACAAGGTCATTTTTAAAAACAAATGTATGCTGTCCTTAGACAAACTAAAAGTGGTGGTATTCAGAGGTTGAGTTTGGCCCAAAAGCCAGGAAAAAAAATTGTAAAACTGGTGCTAAAATATCTGAGAGGTAGAAACTGAGGATAGTGAAACCGAAATTAAAACTTAGCAGCAAAAGTTAGAACTAGAATTCCAATGGTGTTAAAAAAGAAGTAAAGACAAATCCATGGATGGGAAAGAAAAAGAGAGGAAGGAAAGAAGAGAGAATTCCAAGAAACAAAGTTTTAAATGGAAATGTCTGAAACTTAGAACAGAGAATCCCAATGAAGGAAGTGCATTGATCCTGTTTAAGGAGTGAAGTATTCAAATTTGTACATCTTAATTGCTACATTTGAGGGAAGAGGTGACAGCCTTTGTGAACAGTTAGTAGGCAGTCCAACAATGGACCCTAGTGTTGCTGGGCAGACTGCCAGGGAAAAGCTCATGAGATTCTCTCCCTCTTCTGAGATGAGTGCCACTGACTGACTCTAAGGCAGTGATAGGGGCTTTTATTAATTTATGCCATATAAGTAAAAAGTCTGTAACCTCAGAAAATGGTCTGACCAGACATAACTGGTTTTTGAACAACTTAAAAGCTTGCTTTTGACCACTGAGTAGAGGCGTTTAAAATTGAGGCCACCTATGCAATCCATTTGAGAGGATATTTCTCCACAGAGTTCAAAAACTCCATACCCTTTCCTATCTGGTTGCCCACAGGACTAGAAGGAGCAGGGCTCAGACACCCATTCTGGCTGACAACTGTGAATTAACACAGAGACTCATAAACTCAGGGAAGCTGGGGTCTAGAAACTTCCACAAACCAGAGAGAGGTAACGGTGATGTAAATACAAGTTGGAAAGGAAAAGGCAGTGCAAGTGGAACCGTCCCTGACTATTAAAAGGAGGGAATCTGACAGGGTGCAAATGAGAAATTGTCCCCACTGCTTCCACTGCGATATACCAGAATGTGTAAATGAAATTCATTGATTCCAGCTTTTCCACAGAAATGCAAGCTGCAAAACCAGTCCCTGCAAGATTAAAAGTGGTCAGTGCCCACTCAGGCATGACTACTGACCAGGGTGGCTGTTTGGAGCTTGCGTCCAAACACAGAGTCCGTTGTTTAAATAGCCAGACAAAGAAATTGTTGTTTTCCAAGAAGTCGGTACTCACAGATATTACTAAATTGGGAAAATGGAAGGTATTCCACCTGGAAGCAATCTGAATTCCAATATGCTGATTAAAGGGCCCACTGAAAAACAGTGTAGAAGTGCCACTGGTTAATCCTCAGAGTGCATTTGTTATGGGTCTGGTAACAGTGGAGGGGTTGTCCCAAGTTTGCCAAAGCCAGGGATGGATATTTTATTGGGGAACCATTTGGCTGGCACCTTCTTCAATAGAAAATGCCCAGCCCAGTGAGGCTGGCATGGCGCAGAATGCCAGCAGCAAAAAGGCTATGAAAATACTGCAGGGATCAGTATTGGAGGAGGCAGGCTCACTCAAGCTCCCTGGAGAAAGACAGGCAGGTTAGCTCCTCTGTCAGGGAGCTGGGAAAGGGAAAAGGGCCGTCACACTCTCCACCCACTCCCCACTACCACCACTCCCTGAGGATGAACAGGACACCCCAGTTACTGATACTCCATGCTGGCTCTCTCTCAGATTGACCCGGCAACACCAGGCAGCTTAGCTGCGACTGGAAAACTTTTTCAGAGAAGCTCAGGAAAGAACGGGCCAGGAGCCTGCCAATGTGCAGCAGGAGACACAACAGCACACCATCCACTGGCTACTCCTCAACACAAAAACCCCACAAACTGGGCCCCACAGCCTCAATCCCGAAAACATTCCACTCTGCATTCGGGGGTCCTCCCGTCGTGAAAACATGACTTGGCTTCAGCTGTCTTTCTCCTAGCTTCAACCCTCATGAAACTGGGTTCCCATGGCATTCAAAATACAGGTTTTACAAGCTTTATAAAAACACGGCTCAGTGTAGCAGCATTAATTCATGATATCGCTATAAGTGGATTCCCTCCCTGTAACTCGCTCCTGGGTACCTGTTATATAAACCTTCTATATATGAGCCACTCATTAGATTCCAGCGGTGACTCCCTCCCAGGTGTCTGTCATTCTATACATAAACCATCCCGAACGTCTCAATTAGATTCCAGTCTGTAACTCCCACCCAGGTATCTGGTATCCTATATATAAACCATCCCAAACCCCTTGATTAGATTCCAACCTGTAACTCACTCCCAGCTATCAGCTATTCCAAACACAAACAATCTGACCTCCTAAGGTTTTGGAGTAGATCTGTAGCTTGGGTTGTGGGTGTTGAGATTACTCCTCAATTAGATTCCAGCTTCTAACTCATTCCTGGATATCTAGTAATCAATGCATAGAAACGTATTACAATTTTTTGGGTAAGACACAGTGCAGGGTAGAAAAGGGGAAACAGTGGATGACACATATTTGGATTTCCAAAAATCTTTGAATGAGCTACCACACGAGTATACTTTATAAAATAAGAGCCCATGATGATGGGGTAGTACATTCCCATGGACAGAGGATTGGCCAACCACTAGAAGACAATAGGTTGGGATAAGACATGATTTTCAGATATGGACATGTTAATGAGTGGCAAAAAAAAACTTTGTAGGTGGAATGTATTGTGGGAAAGTATGAGGTAATGCACTTTGGCAGGAAGAATGGAGGAATGAATATTATTTAAATAGGGAAAATAATAGAGAGCTGCAGCTCTAGAGAGATTTTGGAGGTCTTTGTGCCCAAATCACAAAAAGCTAGCATCTAAGATAACTAGACTGTAGCGAGGGCAAATGGAAGGTTGGCATTGGTTGAGAAGGGGAGGTTTGAAGTATAAAGAAATGCCGGGACTTTTCTCGCTGGAGCATAGGGGGTTGAAAGTTGACCTTATAGAGGTTTATAAAATAATGAGGGGTATAGGTAGGGTTAATGGTAAGTGTCTTCCCCCTAGGGAAGGGGATTTCAAGACTAGGGGATGTATTTTTAAGGTGAGGGGAAATAATCTTAAAAAAGACATGGGCAATTTTTTTTTAAAATAGAAGGTGATTCATGTGTGGAATGAATTTCCAGAGGAATTTGTGGATGCGAGTACAATTACAACATTTAAAAGATCTTTGGATAAATACATGAATAGGAAAGGTTTGGAAGGATACGTGCCAGGAGCAGGCAGGTGGGACTAACTTAGTTTGGGAATATGTTTGGCATGGACTGGTTGGACCGAAGGGTCTGTTTCCGTGCAGTATGACTCTGACTCTGAGAAAGGATTGGAAGCCCTCAGGGGATTGGGGGTGGGAGGGAGGAGCGCAGTAGAACCCATGAGGGTGTCATGATAGTGGTTTAAAAGATAGACTGGACGAACATGTTTTTGTTACTTCCATCATCTAATTTTAATACCTCAGAGTTTTCATGGACTAAATTCCTTTTTAAAAGGAAATCCACTGCTTTAGAATGCTTGCAGTGATCATCTAACCACAGGCTGAATTATTTAATGGAACTATCAATATATAAGAACCAGACTGAAATGAAATGAAAGTCCTCAAAATGACTGAACACGGTCACTCACATACATATTTCATATTTGGTTTACACCTTTCCAGAAGTTTTAGGTATTGGAACGAAAGTCACCTGTAGATTATCTGGCTTGGAGGAAAAGAAAGCTAAGCCAGACACAGGAACGTGCAAAGGAATCGTATTTCAAGCAACAGCTTTGGGGTAGAGAGAGAAGAATGACTGATGCATTTATAACAGCAGAAATAGAAGGCTTGCCCCCTTTCTCCCTGTCTCTCTTATCATCCCAAAGAAACCAAGACCTGATCATAAAGCAAATTAGACTAATGTCCATTCATTGAGAACACAAAGAATACCTAGCAATGTCATTATTTACCAATTTAATGTGGAGATAAGTCATCAATTAACAAGCCTACTCTCAGGTTAAATCCTAATGTCAGTGGCTCTAAAGACTTTTAAAATTGTCTATTTTTGTTATTCCTTTTTGTAGTAGACATTCCCTTTTCAAATGTTATACCTGTGTTTGTTGTTTGCTTTTATTTTTCTGGCTTAGTAAACAACAACTCTCTTCCTTTCATTCAAGAAAATCTTGCAATTGGTTCCTTAATTTTGCACTAATACTGCATTTTAATTAAAGTATGATAGAGCTGCATGCTAACAAGTACAAATGTTTGTGATCAACTGAAGCATTTAAAAATAGGGGAGCTCTTCATCCCACCTTACCTGATTGTGGTATGAAACATTGAAATGCATTTAAAAAAAAATTAATAGGTGCCACTAACAGCCTGATACCCTTTGACATAATTTCAAATAGAGAAATATCTAAATTCTACATCATTTATTTGATTGGAAAATATGATTGACAGGTTTGATACACCATAAAGCTCTGCATGCTGGCTTACGCAATGGAAGCTTTACTCTTATTACTTTTGGGTAATTTTAATCTTAGCTGCTGATTGGAATCTCATGGGATTGGATGAATGTCATTTTTACTGTTTTTTCAACTGGCATTATTTTTACCTGATTTTATTTATATCTATTTCAATATAGTCAGAGAGTGGCTTCTTTTCCTGGTCCTGGAGTGTTTCTCTGTCTCTCTGGTGTTCCCACAATGCTATTGTTGGCTCCCTCTATTTTTTAATCATGCCGTCCCTTGGCAACATGTTAGCTTTCACACACATGCTGATGATGCCGAGCTCTACCTCATCGCCATCTCGACTGTCAGACTGCTCATAACCATAGAACTCCTACAGTGTGGAATCAGGCCATTCAGCTCATAGAGTCCACACTGACCCTCCAAACAGCATCGTTCCCACACCTAGCCCTTAATCCTGTCCCTGTAACCCTGCATTTCCCACGGCTAATCCACCTAACCTGCACATCCCTGGACTGTGGGAGGAAACCAGATCACCCAGAGGAGACCCACGCAGACACAGGGAGAATGTGCAAACTCCAGACAGGTACCCAAGGCTGGAATTGAACATGGGTCCCTGGCGCTGTGAGGCAGCAGTGCTAGCCACTGTGCCACCCCAACATTTGGTACTGGATGAGCAGAAATTTACTCCAGTTAAATGCTGGGAAGACTGAAGTCACTAAATGAAACTCTGTTCTGTAATTTCAGCTGCTAGTAACAACTCCCCAGCCCCTAACCTCCCCCTCACTTCCTGGCAACCAGACTGTTTCAAAAATCTTGGTGTGATCTTTGACCTTAGCATGAGCTACCAACTACATATTTGAGCCAACACAAAGATCACGCATTTTTCCCTGCACAACATTGCCCCTGCCTCAGCTCAGCTGCTCCTGAAACCACAATCAATGTGTTGCTAGCTCCCAGACTTAGCTATCTAATGTTCACTTGGATCTTCTTCCTGATTCTACCCGACGCAAACTTGAGACCATCCAAAGGTCTGTTGTCCACGTCCCAGTTCAATTTGCCCATCAACCCTGTGCTCACTGACCTACATTTGGCTTCCAGTTGAGTCTCCTAATTTTTATTTTTAAAAAATTCAATTTTGTTTTCATATCCCTGTGTGGCATCACCCTTATGACTTCTACGATTACCTGCAGCCAAACAACCTCTTGAAATAACTGCAATGCACTTAGTTTTGGCCCCTTGACCATTCTCCATTTCTAAAAAAAAATGGCCATGCCTTCAGTTGTCAAAGTCCTAAGCTCTGGAATCTACTCCCTGATTCTCTCTGCTTCTCCAACTCATCTTTTAAGAGGCTTATTAAAACCAACCTCTTTGATCAACCTCTGGTTTTCTGACATAATATTTTCCTTTGTAGCTCTGCGAATATTTTGCTTTACAATATCTATATGTTGTACGAATGTAAGTTGCTGCTACAGCTGCAGTCGAGTGACACATTTGAGTCAGAGTTTGTCTATGATATGCGCAGGACTTTTTTGAATAAGGCAGTGACGGAGCATTTTACTGAAAAAAAATTCTGAATGTCATCTGAGAAGATCAATTTTAGAATGTTACTCGGACATCAAAGGACATGATTTTAAAAATGACATATGCCTGAAGAAATTGAACTTTCAGCTTTCTGAAAACACGGGGAAAGTTGGGAGTTGAAATGGCACTGTAAAATTACTAGTTATGACAAATTGTTCAAATGACATATAATTCTGTCCTCTTTTTTGGAAAGATTTAAGCCGCTTCATGTTTAGGTTAATTCAATATGCTCAGAATAAGGAACAGAGGTATTTCATACATTGCACAAACATGTTTACTACCAACAACAACAGTGAAATTCCAATCTCCATGAGAATTTCTCACATTTCAACAAATGATGGACAGCCCTACAATCAGACTGCTGTATTAAAAATAGCACAATCTTAGTCATTGGTTTCTCCAACTTGGTAAGTACAAAATACTGAGCATGCTGGTAAATTGGTGTTTACTTACCAACAAGACTGTGCTGACATGATTTGTGACATTAGGGGAACACCTTAATCATTTTAAAGCCCATTTAGTTTACCCCAGCCACCTTGTACTTTCCATACATTAAGGACAACTTGATATACAAGCACACCTTCAACATAAAACAAAACTGGGCACTGAGTCAAAGGAGGAGTGATCAAAACCTTGGTCAAAGAGTTAGCATCTAAGGAGGAGCTTAACAGAAGGGAGGGAAGTGAAAATGATTTCAGGGAAAGAATTCCAGAGCCTTATAGAAATCATGGCTACCAATGATGAAGCAAAATATGGATTTCCTTAAGATATCAAAGTCTCAGGAACAGAACTGTACAGAGAAAGTGGAGGTGCGATGCTGACTTCTTCATGAGTAGAGTTTCTTTTTGAGGAGGGAGCAGAGGGCTGCAGTTCTCAAAGGGAAAAGAATCATAATTAAGGCATAATAGTGACAACATTGGGAACCTCGGAGCTTAATTAAGAACTAGACCAAACAGTAAGTTGTGGCCTTCTTGGAAAGATGAACTCAAGCAAGCATGAGAGAAGATGGGAGAGGTGTTTGTGAAGCGAAAGTAATGAAGCAGTCAATATTGTGACAGTCATGGACGACTTGAAAATAAGTTTTTGCAACTGAAACAAATGGGGGAAAAAGAGTGATTTTAACGTTTAAACTCTTGGAATAGAAGCTTCAACTTTTTACAAGCCAAGATCGGGAAACAACCAGCTTATTCCATACACCTTTCCATTGAAGAAAATGACCCTTCCTTAAATCACAAATAGCATGTTTGAGAAACAACACAAATAACTGGGTGCCATTTATATAACTAAGCTTTCTTACCTCTTTTGCAGTCTGTTTAGTTTCTGTTGAAATTGTTCGTCATTGAAAGATGTATTTAAAGCTCGATGAAAACGCTGAAAAAGACAAATAGATTATTATTGTGGGTGCAACCTTGTTGTTTTTATTCCTTCATGAGATATGGATATCATTTATTTATTGCCCATTAATTGCCTTTGAGAAGGGGGTGGTGAGCTCCTGCCTTGAACTGCTGCAGTCTGTGTACTATAGGTACACCCACAGTGCTGTTAGGGAAGGAGTTCCAGCATTTGGAGTCTGCGACACTGGAAGAAATGGTAATTAGTTCCAAGTCAGGATGATATGTGGTTTGAAGTGAAACGTTTAGGTGGTGATATTCCAATAAGTCTGCTGTCCAATCTTTCCATGTGGGAGAGGATGCAGATTTGCAAAGGACTATAAAAGAAGCTTTGCTGAGTTGCTGCGATGCATCTCGTACACACTGCAACCACAGTGCCTTTGGTGGTGGATGTGACGCCAATCAATCAGGTTGCTTTGCTTTATCATGGATGGTGTCGAGCTACTTGAAATCTGCATTCAATCAGGCAAGGTGAGGGTATTCACACTCCTGACTTGCGCCTTTGTAGATGGCTATCAAGCTTTATGGAGTTAGGAGGCGAGTTACCTGCTGCAAAATTCCTCATCTCTGACCTGTTCTTGTAGTCATGGTATTTATATAGCTGATTCAGTTCAGTTTCTCATCGATGGTAATCTCGAGGAGGAGTATAGTGGGGGATTCAGTGATACCAAAAACATTGAGTGTCAAGAGAAAGTTGTTGGATTTTGATTATCTTAGTGACTATTGGCTGGCTCTTGAGATGAGGTGTGAGTGACTGCACAGGATTTGTGCAGAATTTGACCAAATGCGACATCAAAGAGCCCTATCTAAACTGGAGTCGATGGGAATTGCGTAGGAAATTCGCCATTGGATGGAGTCATACCTAGCAGAGAGGATGATGATTTGATTTGTTGGAGGTCAGTCATCTCAGCTCCAGGACATCTCTACGGGAGTTCCTCAGAGTAGTGTCCTAGCCCTAACTATCTTCAGCTGCTTCATCAATGGTATTCCCCCCATCATAAGGTGTTTGCTGCTGAATGCACAATATTTAGTGCCATTAATGACTGATATTGAATTGATTTGTGTTTAAATTTAGCAAGAACATGACAAGAACCAGATGTAGACTAATAAGTGGCAAAGGCATGCTACACAAGTCACAGACAATGACCATCACTAATAGGAGAGACTCTAACAATTGGCCATTTGACACTTAATGACATTGTTATTGTTAAATCCCCCAACATCAACACTGACCAAAAACCTTATTGGACCAGACATATAAATACAGCATAGCTACAAGAGCAGGTCAGAGGCAAGGAGTTCTACAGTGAATAACTTGCTTCCTAACACCCTAAAACATATCCACTATTCATAAAGCAGAAGTCAGCAGTTTGATGGAATATCATGCATTTGCCTGAATGAATGCAGTTTCAACAGAACTTGAGGAGCTTGACACCATTCAGGACATGGAAGCCTGCTTTATTAGCACCCCATCCACCACCTCAAGCATGCACTCCCTCAATAACGATGTATGTATCATCTGCAAGTTAGACTGCAACAACTCACAAGGATCTTACAGCAGCATCTTCCAAATCAAGATCTCTGTCACTGAGGAAGGCAAGCAGTGGATACATGGGAACAATGTAAGATCCCTTCCAAGTCACTCAACATCCTGTCTTGAAGTTATATCGCTATTCCTTCACTTTCACTGGGTCAAAAGCCTGGAACTCCCTTCCTAATGGAGTTGTGGGTGTTCCTACACTACAGGGAAGCAGTTCAAAGAAGTGGCTTGCCACCATTTTCTCATATGCATTTAGGCAGCGGTAATAAATGCTGATCTGGCCTGTGTGTGTTGTTTTGGAAAATGTAGGGGGTGATGAACTCTCAGGGGAATGTAGCACACACAGCCAGGTTCCAGTCCTGAGGTGGGGGATTGTCTAGTCAGAGGCACAGACAGACGTTTCTGTGGCCAACAGTGAGACATCAGAATGGTGTGCTGCCTCCCTGGTGCCAGGTTCAAGGATATCTTTTGAGAGGGTGCAGAACATTCTCAAAAGGGAGAGGGGCCTGCAGGAGGTTGTCGTATACATTGGAACTATTGACATAGTAACAGAAAAGGATGAGATTCTGAGGAGAGAATATAGGAAGTTAGGCAAGAATTTAAAAAGGGGTCCTCGAGGGTAGAAATACCTAGATGACTCCCAGAGCCACGAGCTAGTGAGGGTAGGAATAGAAGGACAGAGCAGATGAATGCGTGGCTGAGGAGCTGGTGCAGGGAGAAGGATTCACATTTTTTGCATCATTGGAATCTCTTCTGGGGTAGAGGTTACCTGTATAAGAAGGACAGATTGCACCTGAATTGGAAGGGGACTAATATAGTGGTAGGGAGATTTGCTAGAGCTGCTCAGGAGGATTTAAACTAATCAGGATGGGTGTGTTGGGTGGGACCAAGGGAGACGGTGAAGAAACTGATCACTTTGAGCCTAGTACAGTTCGGGGAAAAGAAAGGTCAAACAGTCAGGGCAGGCAGGAACAAAGCCGAGAATGTGGTAGGATTGATAAATTAAACTGCATTTATTTCAATGTAAGAGGCCTAACAGGTAAGGCAGATGAACTCAGGGCCTGGTTAGGAACATGGGACTGGGATATCATTACAATTACAGAGGCATGGCTCAGGGATGGACAGGACTGGCAGCTTAATGTTCCAGGGTATAGATGCTATAGGAAGGATAGAAAGGCGAAAGAGAGGATGGGGAGTGGCATTTTTGATTGGGGATAACATTACGACTGTACTAAGGGAGGATGTTTACAGGTAAAGTAACAGCTGGAAAATGGGAAGTCTTCAAAAATGGGATAACGAGAGTCCAGAGACATTATGCTCCTGTTAGGGTGAAGTGCAAGGCTGGTAGGTGCAGGGAGTGCTGGATGACTAGAGAAATTGAGGTTTTGGACAAGAAAAAGAAGGAAACATATGTCAAGCATAGACAGCAGAGATCGAATGAATACCTGGAAGAGTATAAAGACAGTAGGAGTATACTTAAAAAGGAAATCAGGGGGGCAAAAAGATGATCAGAGGTAGCTTTGGCAATTGGGGTTAAGGAGAATCCAAAGGGATTCTACAAATACATTAAGGACAAAAGGGTAACTAGGGATATAATAGGGCCCTTTAGAGATCAACAGAGCAGCCTCTGTGTGGAACCGCAGGAAATGGAGGGGATACTAAATGATTATTTTGCATCAGTGTTCACTGTGGAGAAGGATATGGAAGATACAGAACGTGGGGAAATAAATAGTGACATCTTGAAAAATGTCCACATTACAGAGGTGCTGATGCTGGAGGGCCTAAAATGCATAAAGGTGGGTAAATCCCCAGGACCTGATCAGGTGTACCCTAGAACTCTGTCAGAAGCTAAGTAAGTAATTGCTGGGCTCCTTGCTGAGATATCTGTATCACTGATAGCCACAGGTAAGGTGCCAGAAAACTGGAGGTTGGCTAACGTTGTGCCGCAATTTAAGAAAGGTAGTAAGGAAAAGCCAGGGAACTATAGACCAGTCAGCCTGACATTGGTGGTGGGCAAGTTGTTGGAGGGAATCCTGAGGAACAGGATTTACATGTATTTGGAAAGGCAAGGAATGATTAGGGATTGTCAACATGGCTTCGTGCATGGGAAATTGTCTCACTAACTTGACTGAGATTTTTGAAGAAGTAACGAAGAGGATTGATGAGGGCAGAGTGGTAGACGTGATCTATATGGATTTCAATAAAGCGTTCAACAAAGTTCCGCATGGTAGACTGGTTAGCAAGGTTAGATCATGTAGAATACAGGGAGAATTAGCCATGTGGATACAGAACTGGTTTCAAGGTAGAAGACAGAAGGTGGTGATGGAGAGTTACTTTCAGACTGGAGGCCTGTGACCAGCGGTGTGCCACAAGGATCGGTGCTGGGTCCACTGCTTTTCGTCATTTATATAAAGGATTTGGATGTGAGCATAGGAGGTATAGTTAGTATGTGTGCAGATGACACCAAAATTGGAGGTGTAGTGGTCGGTGATGAAGGTTACTTCAAAGTACAATGGGATCTTGATCAGATGGGCCAATGCGCCAAGGAATGGCAGACGGAGTTTAATTCAGATAAATGTGAGGTTCTGCATTTGGAAAGGCAAATCAAGGCAGGACTTATACAACTAATGGAAAGGTCCTGGGGAGTGCTGCTGAACAAAGAGACCTTGGACTGCAGGTTCATTGTTCCTTGAAAGTGGCATCGCAGGTCGATAGGATGGTGAAGATGATGTTGGTATGCTTGCCTGTATTGTTCAGTGCACTGACTATTGGAGTTGGGAGGTTATATTGCAGCTGCACAGGATATTGATTAGGCCACTTTTGGAATACTGCATTCAATTATGGTCTCCCTGCTATAGGAAGGATTTTGTGAAACTAGCAAGGGTTCAGAAAAGATTTACAAGGATGTTCCCAGGATTGGAGGGTTTGAGTTATAGGGACAGTCTGAATAAGCTGGAGCTAATTTACCCGGAGCTTCGGAGGCTGAGGGGTGACCTTGTAGAGGTTTATAAAATCATGAGGGGCATGGATAGGGTAAATAGGCAAGGTCTTTTCCCCAGGGTGAGGGAGTCCAAAACTGGACAGCATAGGTTTAAGATGAGAGGAGAAAGATTTAAAAGGGACCTAAGGGGTCATTTTTTCACACAGAGGGTGGTGAGTGTATGGAATGAGCTGCCAGAGGAAGTGGTGAAGGCAGGTACAATTACATTTCCCATGGCTGAACCAGCTACCCTGCATGTCCCTATTGGCAATTTAGCATGGCCAATCCACCTAAGCTACACAGCTTTGGACTGTGGGTGGAAATCAGAGTACCCATGCAGACACGGGGAGTACATGCAAACTTCACACAGGCAGCTGCCTGAGGGTGGAATCAAACCCAGGTCTCCAGTATTGTGAGGCAGCAGTGCTAACCATTGAGCCACCATGCCATCCTATAATGA